GTGTGTGTGGGGGGGGTGGGGTTGTGTGTGTGTGTGTGTGTGTGTGTGTGGAAGGATTTCCAGTCTTAAAAATAGTGCATCAACACAATATATGGACCACCATTTTCAAGATTCTCAAATGTTTATAGATCAGCTTGATCCGTGTCATTTTGGGGGCATTTGATAACCGAGAAAGTCGGCGAAAGTTCCCAACTTTCCAGTATTTGTAGCTTTTCCCCCTTTATTTGGGGGGCAAGGCTACAGTGAACAAGGGGAAGTCGAACTTCCAAGTTTCCCCTGCATATTGTTGCTACAGGGAAAGCTGCCACCCACCCGTTAGGGTGGGTTACAGCTTTCCCCAAAAACTTGACCATATTTTTTTTATAATTTTGAATAATTTTTTTATATTTCATTTAATATAATATTCAATACTTATTATAAGTTATTGTAAAGCATCTCCTTTTTACTAAAAATGTTGTAATTTATAATAAAGTCATATCAAATATTGGTTTACAAAAGTTGACATAACCTTACCCTTTTGAAATGTTTGCCAAGGTAACTAACGGTTAACACAAACAGTTTCTAGCATTCCCAATTACTTTCTAGCTGTCCCAATTACCAAAGAAGAGAAAATGTCTGTACCTGTGAATCCAGACAGGTTATCAAATACGGTTCCTAGCTCTCATGCTACCAATTTTCACTTTCCTCCAAGTTTCCATTAAACTCAGCAACTAGAAATTTCCTTGAGAAATTGCAAAGAAAGTTATCAAACACACTTTTGGAGCTTTAAATGTCAAAACCAGGGGTAGAAACAGATTGTCAAGCCATTGTAAGAGTTTCCGGCACCAAAAGCGCATTTTCTAGCAAGATTTGGAGGTGTGCCTTACTTTGCTTGTTTAAGGCTGCTGCCTTATAACCGCACCCTTAATTATTTTATTTTTAAAGGTGCATGAGTTGCATGACTTCAAGATAAAACAAATTAACTCAAAAAGAAAGAATACACATCTAAAATGTAAAACGAGGTCCTAAATCCATGGAGAAAACAAAATGCATGTAGATTTTCTTACAAGCAAGCAATCTATTGACACATTCAAGAACAAAAACCATCCAAATATCCACAACATCTGATTAGCTTAGTGAAATACATTTAAGGAGACATAACAAAAGGCATTGGCCTATGAACAATGACAAGGCCCCATGGCTGAGTAGGTGGCAATGCTCTTATCACCATCAAAGGCAAGTAGAGAAGTGTACTCCCGTTGATCGTTTTAAAATTCCAAGTAGAAATTAAGTGTAGTTAAGATGAGAATGCTGAGACAGATGAGTGACAACACAAAAAAAGATAGAATACAGAATGAATACATATGAGAGAACTTAGGGGTGGCTCCAATGGGCGATAAGATAAGAGAAAGCAGCCTTAGATGGGTTCAGCGTGGACCTAATACAACACCGGCTAGAAGGGACGATTTGGTTCAAGTGGAAGGTTCTAATAGGGCGAGGGGAAAGCTTAAAAGGACATGGATGGAAGCAGTGAGACGAGATATGGTGGCTTATGATTTGACTGAGGGTATGACTCTTGATAGAGCTAAATGGCATATCATGATTCATGTAGCCGATCCCAAATAGTTGGGATAAGGCTCTGATGATGATACGGCCAAGCATGACAACTACACAATTTCGTTTTAACAAGCGACAAATGACAATCATAATGATAAAATCAAAGCAAAGTCGCAAAGACGAGTTGTTTGTAAAATAAGCAACTTTTGCCCTTAGTAACATAATTTAACAGTTAATATTGCACTCTAATAATTGACCGTTCAATATTCCACTTCAGCAGATAGGCATACCTTAGCATCACTAACTGCAAAAAGACTTTCTTCGACTTCAGCAGTATCCATCATTCCCATGAATAAGCTTTGTACAAGTGAGCTTCAACGAAACATGCGAGAACAATGAAATCTGTCAATTAAAAAAAAAAAAAAAGGAAACGTCAGCCTGAATAAACAGAGACAAAAGTGAAAGAAAAATTTCATCAAAGTGCCCTCAACATTTTCCCTTGACGAATTAACATGTTGGAATTGTAGACATTTTCTTTGGCAGGTTATCCTGGTTTCCTTGAGGAAGAAAATTCAAAGTTTCAGCCCTTGATTACCCCTTACCTCACTTCACTAGTTTTCATCATTCGCACACAGCTTGAAATCATATCTTTTTATGTACAAAATTCGGAGCAAAGAAAATTGCCACACAAAAGTAGATTCTGGTTCCTAACATTGTTTAGTAAGTTGCAATTTGACCTCAAGAACCATGTCAATTATTTAACGGTGACAATAACCGAAACACCACTTGTACTCAGTGCTCAAACATCTTCTTAAGGACATATAACAAAGACTCAGGATTGTGAAAGCATAAATTGAAATTTCTTTCCTTTATACCAAAGAAAATATGAGGTAAAAATGGCAGTTAATCAGCATTATTGCAATGGTTTTAGCAAAATCATATCCTTGTAAAAAATTATTTTTTTCAAATGTCAACTATTGCATATATAGACGACATATACAACAGTTGAACCACCCGAAATCCTTGCAGAAAGTTGAAAATAGTGAACTACAAAATTCACAACCTTTAAACTGAAAAAGTAAAAGGGAGGCAATTTAAAACTTCTGAATACTAGACATGATCAAAAAAAACAAATGAATGAAAGGTGAGAAGAGCTTCTAGAGCGAAGTTGGAGTCAAGAATCATATATAATGAAAGGTGAAGTGCTTGTGGAAAAAGGTTGGAGTCAAGAGTCACAAATGGTAGGCATAAGCAGGGCAAACACATGACCAATATAACAATAGAGTGAACAGATTGTAAACATGAAGTGTTTTAGAAGGAAAGGAGACAGATAAGCAGTTACATAAGGTCAGCTTTCAGTGCCTTGAGGAGAGAATGTACAATTTCAAGGACAAAAGAGAAGAGGAATGAATATGGAACTGCAAAAGTTATGGGCCACATCATTTTCTAAAGCTAACAAAATGAAAATGAAAGATATCCAAGACATTTTGTGGGTTACAGTATTTTTATTCAGATTAGACATTATCCTGGTACGTGAAATGTGTATCACATGAGTGAGAAAAAGATAACTTGCACACTTGATGTTTTCTAGCAGTCCATGACTCCTTTCTCACCAAAGCCTTTGCTTCAGAATGGAACATAGGGCATGGAAAGATCATTGTTTTGTGATGATCCTTCCATGATTGCCCCTAGAAAGAAAATTTTCATTACATTGCAAGAAGCTCCCTGGGCAAGGGGGGCAACAATATTAAATGTTTAGCAAATGGTGCTGTTTAAAAGCAGGATAGTTGTTTTTTTTTCTTTTCTTTTTTTTTTTTCTTTTTGCTAGAAATTATTTTATTTGAAGGTAAAAGAGAAGATAATCCCATATGTCCACCTGCTAACTATCTACCACTAGGTTAGCCAAGTACGCCAGATATAAAGTTTGCTTCACCAAGAAAGGAAATCATCAACTTAACAAGAGAAAGACGCGCAAGTTTTTTCAACAGAACGTTGTTTTGTTTTACTTATGAACTCAACCAGAAAGAGAGGTTAGTCATACATTCCATGCCAGAGTTCAAATTAATCAGGGTAGCCAAATGCATGTCAAACAAATTATCATAATAAATTGCACGATTTTCAATAGATTGATAATATTTTCATAATATGTTCATCGCGGGCCATTGAAATGTGTCCCCCTACCATATGTAGCCAATTAGTTGTGTATCCCCTGTACATGCACCGTCATGTTTTTACATGGCTTTTTTCAACAAATAACAGAACCCCATTCGATCTTAAGAAAACTTCAAATAAAATTTTAATTTAAAGCAAATGCCCATACAAATTGGCCCCAATAGTGGCACTAATTATCATACATAAAGACATAATTTTTAAGATATTTTTACTGTATTGTCCTTCAAGGGAATATCAAACTTATACACAACAATTAGTGCTTCAATCTCCATTCCAAGGTGAATTTGTTAGAGACCAAGGCACAAACCTAAAAAGGAAAAAAAATATAAACCTACAGCCCCAGGACGGATTCTTATTCTTGTAGTAGAGAGTCCAAGGAAATTAAATAAGAAAAAAAAGAAGAATGTGTTTAAAAACCAGAAACCCATGGGAGATTCCTATCAACAATAAAGTAACCCAAAGGAGGATTGAATAGGGGAGTTGTTTAAATTGTGATAAGCAACTCTTGAATTGAAATTCCTGTCTGAAATCATATTAAAGCCCAGTAGAGAAAACTCAATAGAAGCCTGGAAATGATCTGAGGTTGGGGCCCCAATGCAAAACAAATAAACAAACTTTTAAAGCTACAAGGATTTTCCATGATGCATCACAGTCTACATGTTTCCAACCATGAATTAAATGTGAAATACTAATCAGAAAGGTTGAAATTTTCGAAGTACAAGAGGAAAAGAAAAAGACCCCAATCCCCCAAATATGAAAATAGTGTTATCAGGAAGGCCTGAAGAAGAGCATTTGGCAGCAATTTGGAGATCAAAGTAAAAAGCAACGATAATCCAAATGTGTAGCCGTTCATTGCAAATGATTTGTTCACCAATCACCAAACACCATCCTTTCAATAAATCGAAAAAGAAACATCATTATCCAAACCCAAAAAACAAAGAAAGAAATCAGTCTCTACCTCAAATATCCAGACACAACTAAACCAAGTAGAATAACCATAAAATGAATGATAAGATGATCAAAGGAGCCATTTTTATAGCCATTCATCAAAAAATCAGAAAGATGGCAAAAGAAGAAGAAGAAAATGGGTTCGAATTTTCAAACACAACGTACCAGGACAGTGGTGTCAAAGGAGGCTCCATTGTTGAGCAACAAAGGAGAAAATGACTATGAATACAATTCAGAAGAAACCCTAAACCTAGAATCGACCTCCAACCGATTGTCTCTCTCCTTAATTTACAGTCCTTTTCTCTCTCTACTTATCTGAAGATGAAAAAAATTGAAGAACGAATGTATGATCCCGAAATTCCAAACGTTTTGAAGCGGAGAAAAAGGGAATAAAGGGCGCAGGAAAAAGAAGAAAAAAAAATTATCGAGAGTAAAAAAAAAAAGAAAAAGGTATCGTGAAATCATAGAATCGATCGACGGATATTATATATATATATAAAAGAAAAAAAAGGTTTTCGAAATTCCGCCGCTTTCTTCTCCTAGAGTATCGGCCGACAAACTGTCACCGTGGCCGGCTTCTCGGGATTAAATGCCACGTTCAACTTGGCCTTTTTTCCTCACTAATTTTCATTGAAATATTTGTATGAAACACACGTTTGTGACGTCCATACCCCTGGTAATTTCAAGTAATTTCAAGACACCGAAATAAATTGTTGTGTGATTTGATTGCCAAGCTGTGGGGACTGAATCGCTTTCGACAAGTTATAGGTACCGACATGCCTCTCAAATACACTTCCGATCTATATATATATATATATTTTTTATTTATTTATTTATTTGCTCTAAAATTCTCCTACATAAATTTTTATTTTAATTTTTTTTTTTTGAAAAATTGATTCTATAGGACACTCCCCTACTTATGTGTATAGGACCCAAAAGATCACCATTCAATTTCGCACAAATCTATAAAAAAATCAAGTCTCACACCTTGTGATAACTTTTCTAGAGATTCATACCAATTTTAATGCTGATCATTTAAGGTCCTACACACGTGGGTGGGGGAGGGTCCTATAAGATCATTTTTTACTCGTTTTTTAGATCATATACTCAAATAAATAACTTAGATTGGCGATTCGTTGATCCGACGTGGATATGGCCAGCGGACGACTACTCATTGATCCAAATTTTAAAACACCGGTTTTGATTTGTGTTAATTATCTTTGGAAGATGACTGGAATACCCTTTATTTTTTAAAAATATTTTTTAGACATGCGAGTTGTAAGAGTTTAGGTGGTGGAAAAGGTTTGTTAACCGCCTTGTTGGACCCATAGCAAGTTGGGGAATAATGATTTATAGTCAAATCTAAACATCGATAATAAATCGATTTTATTTTAACAAGTCGGAGAAAAAATCGGGTAAAAAGTACGAATTGCCCAAAAATAAAGTAAGTTATAGAATCGTGAATATTTCGGACTTGGCTCAAAAAAGAATAAAAAAATCGCATATGTACATATGACACAATATAGGATTATGATTTGCAGTTATTGTATAGATACATTAAAGCAGTCAAACAATAATTTTATGGTCTTACCTTGTGTCATTAGAGTAATACTGGATAATTTTTTTTTTAAACTCTCAATAAATCCACCGACAATGCTTATTATGTCGTCACAACACAAAAACTTATAATAAATTTATTGGGGGCATAAAATAAGACAACAACAACGACAATGCTAAAAGCAAAAACTACATTAGTAAATAACAAGAACTGTAAACCAAAGTATAGGATTATTGCTTATTAAAAAAAAAAAACTCTGTGTATAGGATTATAGTTAACTTAAATAAAACTCAAACATCCAAAAATAGTGGTCCACTCAAAATGCTATGTTATATACATCAATGAAAAATATATATATGAAATTAATCAAACTTCTCTATGCATAAAAAAAGCAACAAAATACTTAAACAAATTCAAATCTCACATTGAACTCCTAGTTGCTTAAATCCTTAGTATCATTGAATCTCTCTTTTGTTCTTTATAAGGATCTTTCAGGTTTAAGAGAAAAAAAAAATGATTTTCATTGAATTACTCTTCTTCTAACTCTACCTATTATTGTGACATATACGATTATTTTGATATCTTAGTTTGTATTTTTCGTACACGTTTTTTAAAGAAACTTATTGGTGAAATTTTTTGTGGAAGTTTTTGCTTGCTAAATCAAAGTTCTTAATTTACTCCCATCATTAATGTGCTTATTTTTAAATCAAAATTCAATAATATTAAGTTAATAATAAAATAAATTTATAAGGAAGAATTTAAAAAAAAAAAATTTGAAAAAAATAAAGCACTGATTTATATCGGTTCCATTGAAAAAACACAATACATTTTTTGAAGGTGTTCTGAAAAACATGTAGCTCTTAACAGATTTCGAAAAATCAGATAGTTTTTGAAAAAATCGTGTTTTAAACGGAGACCTGCTAACATAGTTGGACATGATATCATGTACTGTAAGTCTAGCCCCACCCGAGCCTGGCCCGAAATCTTACCTATAAGGCTCGAGCCAACTTGAAAAATCAGACCAAGGCGGGCCAAGCCTTTTATAAATGCGGGAAACATTTTATTTTAAAAGCTTATGAAAAATTTCAAGCCATGCCCGAGCCAGATTTGCGCTAGCTTGGGCTTAGATTGAGTTATACGTTGGGTGTGTCAAAGCCCAGCCTAAACTGAGCATGGCCCAGAAGCCAACAGGTCGGGCCCCGCCTATTAACACCGTTATTGTGCAGTATAAAGCATCACATGTTGTAAAGGGAGTGGAACGTACCATTAAATGAAGGAAATGTATATAATATGACGATTTATTTTTTATATAAGAAAGCAAAAAATCATTATTGACCATTCAATTTGAAAACGATTGATTGAGGATATGTCATTTTTTCGGTACAAAATCCAAAATAAAATTCCTAAAATGTTGTCCCTAATAGTATTACAATCCCTTAAACTAATACCATGTTAGATGGGATCCACGCTTCCTAGGCAAAACCGATGGGACGATGATACTTATTTTGACTATATTGTTTCTTCGTCATACTTCCACTTGGAATTGTCGTGGGCGAGAGCATGTTATGCTCTTGTGGGAGCATAGTATACACATACATCCTTGTGCAAATACCTACTTGAGAGTGTTTTTTATCTTAAATTTTGGAATCCATATAAGAACCACTGGATGATTATAGAAACTTCGGATTTTCAATTTCATAACCCTTAAATCTCAGCTTTAAAAAATTAGTTGGTTTATGTTAATGTTATTTTTTCAGGTGTATAGAAAGTCTTTTTGATTTGTTTGTTTTCTTTCCTTCTAGGGTTAGTCCAGTTGAAGATGTTACAGACTCAAATTTTGGCCCTATACAATGGGATTCACCTCAGGGACAAAAGATGGCATGCTCTCCTTTAAGCATGGTTTTTTTTTTCTTCCCTTGTAATTTATCATATCATCCATTATATTTTTTATTTTTATTTTTATTTTGCAAGGAATCCATTAGATTTTTTATTCAACGACCACGATACGATGCACTTTATGTGAAAATCGGCAGTCCAATCCTCATTCACTTTGAGCAAATTTATGATTGATTAGGTCAAACTAGTTTTTAACATATTCATAGTTACAATGAGCTCATTTAAACAGGCCTAGCAAAGGAGTCCTCGCCTTTTCGGCTTTCAAGTGAAAAAATCATAGGGGTTCATTTGGACTGGTCCGTCCAAACAGGGCTTTAAAGTACCACATGCTAGAGTCCCTTGCCACGTTTTTAAGTACACACACTAGTAAGGCCGAACTTAAAGGACCTACTCTCAAATTTTTGAGATGGGCTGCCCTTACATTCACTAAACTTACTTAAATTTATTAAAATTAATTACAATTTTACTTTCTTAATATTTGATTAATCATTTGATGAGAAAGTATGGATTCAAGTAATGATCTGCCTCCTTATTCTTTTCTCTGTACACATGTTAAAAACTTATAACGTCTCATATCTTGAATTTCTCTCTATATCAACTTGAGATCCTACACTGCATATGCTTCTCTTTAATATCATCTTATCGCATTCATTGAATCTCTTTCAACAATGATATTTCGCCCCTTCTCCCTAGCAATATTCAATCATTGCTTAAAAGCTATCAAAATTGCTCTCTTGATAGTTAGTATTCCAGCAAGTCCATAGAATTTCATCAAAATTTTGCCCGTGTCATCTCATACATTGGTCTTCTGCCCTGCTTTACCTAGGTTCGCAAAAGTGCTCCCACCAAAATTTAACTCGATGAAGCCTATCTTTGGTGCCTCCCCTATTCCCACTCTTAATCTTTGTAGTTCTCCTTTCATACTAATTTTCTTCAACTTATGCCTCTCAACCCCTCAAAATTCTTTCTACATAGAAGCCTAACATGCAGTTCTACATGTGACATTGATAATTATTCTATGCACCTCCATCATTTGTCTTTCAAAACCTTTCGTTTTCTTTCCTTCCATATCTCCCATAGTATTGCTCCCTTCACTCTTATACTACCCGCTTCAGAATGATAAGGGTCTCGTGCATATTTGGTTTACACGAAAGTCCTCTCTAATCTTTCCCATGTTTGTTCTATGGGAAAGCAGTGGACACCACAAAAAAGCAATGTTTCGAAAGTGCTTCGATAATGCCAACCTATTTTGGTATAAAAATGCTTTCCCACATGATGGAGCTTTCTCATGGGAAAGTTCAAACAGAGATGTCCAATGAAACAAACGGGCCCTTAGTCACTTTTAGAGACAAAGGAAATGTCCTCTTAAAGATGAATCTAGTTTAGCAATTATTGTGCCTTGTCAGATAATAGGTATGGGAAAGAATAACATGTTGTTATTTAAAAATTGGAATCAAGGTCAGACTCGTTTCTTGAAAATCCTAGTCCAATTGCCCAATATTGGGTGATTTGACAATAAATATAAATAAAGAAAAAATTAGAAAGCTCGAAGAACTAACGTACTTATAGAATTCCTTATACTTGAACTATCCAACTCATAATCTTGATCTAGTTATCGCGCTTTTAAGTCAGCCTGACGATTTTTAAATGACTCCTATATGTTTTAGATGGCATCTTGTAATAATGCTTCCCCTCCTGTTCACATAGCTGTGTTAGTTAAGGGAGACAATATACTTGTGAAGAGAAGAAAGTCCAAACTGTTGATATTCATACAAAAACAATTGAAAGCATTATATACTATCGTCTTATTTAAACCAAAAATATTTCCAATAACCATAGATCACCAAGGGAACCACATGTCCCTTAGTTTTTAAAAGAAACTGATTCTAACCATAATTAGTCAAGATATTTTAAGAATAGAGTAATAATTGTGGGGGTTTTCAGGAATCTAGTCAACTTGTCCCTGTCTTTCATGATTCCATTACTAAAAAATGTTGCGGTTTCCATTAATATGCAAATGCCATGTGCTACATGGTTCATTCCATTCCCAACAAGTGTTTTTAATTTTTTATTTTATTTTATGTCCAAAGAAAACAAAGAATAGTTAACTTTATAATCCTTTTTAGTTCATCAGTTAACCTCTCTTTTCCCATCAAGCATTTTTAATATTTCCATATTTTTCTTAACAATTT